AAACAGTAGATGAAACCGGTCAGTCTCAACGAAATCGCCATTGGCTGGGTACTCGCGAGTACAGTTCAGCAGCCAAGGTAGGTTGGTAGCGATCTGGGATGAGACCTGCCAAGCCAGATGATTTCCAGTTTTTTCAGGGTTGCTTTCAGGTAGAACCTAGGCAGTATATCTTGAGTAGTAGGAAAATACTCACCTTTAGATGTAAATCTGAATCTTCGCCTCTTTCTGCCTGATACGTCGACGATCCATCGAATCCCCAGCCCGGAAACTCTGAATTAAGATAGAATTCGGCTTCTTTTCTCTATTCAAATGATTCAATTCAAATCGAATTTATTCAGCAGCAACTGGGTGACATCATATATGCGTCGGTGATTTATAACAACACCTACTGGCCTTGCTTTCTCTTTAAAAGGCAAAACAATCACTTATGAAGGATGAATCAAAGGATGATTTGCGTCAAACTCGTCATTTTATTGTTGTATTCTGATGTCAGCAAGCATGAAATAAGCGCTTTGCACCAAAAGCAGCAACTGCCATCAACGTCAATTGAAAGGTTCATTGAACGAAAAATTTACTTACTGCCTGCCAAGCCTTTTTCTTTGTCAAGTGTTCGAGTCTTTTCTCGAAGATTCTCGCCTGTTCCATCTATCCAGACGTAGGTGGCCTGAAAAAACACTTATGTCAGCCATTTGCTACANGTTGAATCTGTTTCTCGCGATGTAATGTGATCAAGCGAACGTTATTTTGTAGGAAAAATCTAGTCCGTAAATCCAGACCAATTGTTTCTACCTACTGTGGGCCTTCCAGATTCATAGAGCGAATTGGGAAGTTCTGTATTCCCCATATACTCTTAAAAAGCAGCGACAGGACCTAGGATCCTGTATCCTCTACTATAACGATGCCTTGTAGTCAGTTAATGTGGTCAGGAAGGTTGTTCCCGGAGCGATACAGGCCCAAGCTGACCGAGAGGTTGATTACGCCGTGTTCGGTTGTTCGGTAGCAGGCCCGTCCGAGGGGATAAGAGCTCAGACCTGTTCATCGTCTGGGCCGCAAGTCATTGTAAATGTAACATACGCATTCAAAAGACCACAACGATTTTGAGTAGATGCCGAATGAGGGGCGCATCCCGAAATGGGCCCGATCACAACTTTTCATAATAGAAATTACTGCAAAATTTACTTGAGATTCATCAACCACCATCGTTGCAAGAATGATCAAACACAAATAAGAACGAGTTTTCTCTCAAGAGTTTTTCTTTCACCGGGAATATTAAAGAGCACTGCCACAGTCTTGTTCTGTGACCTTCTCCATGATGATGGATTTTTTCATTCCGAAGATCGCAGACCGCACATTGGTTATTCACAACGAATACACGTGCCTCGCACGAATATTTTTCTACCCTCCAGTTATGATGAATTGGGTAAGGTCTTTGAAGGTAACCAGGTGAAGATTGATGTACTCTTTAATTATTCCAAACGGAGAATGGATTCGGCCAATTTGTTTCCCCTACAACTCCAATCTGTAAGAAACCACTGGAATGTTTCCGCGTTCCGTTTGGAAGAAATAATTAAAAATTGCACGAAGTTGTTTCCTGGCATGAACCAATTCGTTCTGAGAATCGCCCAAGCATACCAATCCCACTCGGGACCGTGATGGCGTATAAGTGCGTATTTAGCCTATACAAAGAGCAATGAAAGGTCCAGTCCGCTTGAAGAAGCACCGATCGGGACTTGATCTCCAAACCACACCAGGAGTTGCGACGTCATTCAGCATCACTCCATATTCCGCCTCAGAGAGACATCCATAGCTCCTGATATTGCAGAAAATGCATGGCATTTATTCTTCTGTCACTTCCATTTGAGTAACTTGGGAATGCCGTTATCTCGGATGGTCTTCTGAGTCATCATTCCTAGACGTGTGGACACCATTCCATATAAACTAACGTGATCGGCTTATCACTTCTTACGTATTAGCATTGATAAGCTATGATTTCTGTACCGATGAAAGCTCAGTGAAGATTCAATGGACTTCATTGGTGCACTGGACAACTACAATACTGGGAAACTGTGGCAAGTATAAATGCAAAACAAAATCCTGTCGAGGACCTATGTATTCAAAAGCCTATTCACGCAGCTCTTCGATGTAACAGCCTTTCATCGGATAATGTCATTACTACCCAGTAATTTCCCTCTTTAACTCTGGGAAAGAAACGCATCGAACTACGGTACATTCAGAAGAGATGACGTCTTTCACATGAGGTCATGCTTGGCCTTGAGAATGAACATCAGAGATGCTCTACCTCTGCCGAAATTCAAGAAAAACGAACTGTTTCTGTAAGTCTATTCTTTGAAATCATGAAATGTTGAATGAGTCATTTAATAGAAGATGTTCAAACAAACGATGTTTCCGATGTGCAATCACCAAAAAAGGACCGATTTAGATCTATTGCGAAACGTTAACTACTGGTGGCTGGATTTTTTTGGATACTGTAGTTTTTAAGANAAACGCACTTCAGAGCAGCCTCCCCAGCTAAAAACGCCCTCAATGGCCCTATCAAGTTTGTGAGTGTTGAAGACATGAAAAAGGGTCACTGTAAGTCTATACTTCGAAATCATTAAGTGTTGAATGAGTCAGTTTATAGATGATAGATGTTCAAACAAACGATGTTTCCGATGTGCAATCACCAAAAAAGGACCGATTTAGATCTATTGCGAAACGTTAACTACTGGTGGCTGGATTTTTTTTGGATACTGTATTTTTTAGCAATTACTTTCATTACTACCTTTTTAGGCCCTACCCTAGCGGTGATAGTTGAAAAGATTTAGTAGAGAAAACTGTCTCTGTAGTGCCCTTTCAATATTGAATCAGTATATTGACTAATTGATAAGTGATCTAATCAACAGAAAAAGAAAATAAACTGAGGAAATCAAAATTAGTACTGACCAACATTTTGTTATCAGGAATTTGAATGTCTAGTGATTGATTCACCACTGGTGTACCAAGTGGAAGAGGTACTGAGAAGTTGGAAATTGCACGGGCAGCGCTAAACTTTCCGATTTGTGTGACAGCTCGAAGTGCTCCTCGAATCGGCATCATGCTCTGTAATCGCTCATGTAATAAGAACGGAAAACACGATCTTCGAAGCACAACGACGATCAGCGAGAGTAATTGGACTATTTTGGGCAAATCTGACCAAAATGGAAAACGAACAGCTCAGATTTCCTAAGCTGAAAAGAGTGAAATAGAAGCTCCGAGTTGAGTAGCGAATGCTATGGATAAGCATGAGCACCACTGGGCAAGGATATTAGTGCCAAAGTACAACATCTAGGCGAAATGAGAAGGGCATGGACTAGGAGGCTGAGATGGCTTAGTGATCCCGACCTGAGCCTGTCTCCATCCAGTCTAGACGGAACTAGGCTACCCTTATATCCAGGAGCATAAGCACTTAGTCGGATTGGGGCCGCCAACTGGCGCCACAAGTCCGTGAAGTTCTGCCGAGCACGCGGGTAGGGCAGGTCCATGACGGAGAACCTCCCAACGATTGCACTCCAGCTGATCAAATGTCACGGAGACGCAGTCAGGGCAAATGTCAGAACAGCAGTTACACAAAGAACTCAACTGCTTTCAAAGAACGCCCAACAGAGTTTTTATGAAGAGAAGTCAGGGCAATGAAGCAGAACAACCATAAGAGGATCGTGGGAACCGTGCTTGAGCTACACGACGGCAGAGGTGGGGAAGTAGACTTCTCAGTTTTTTCTGGAGGCGACTTTTACTCATAATCAAGCTTACGTCCAAAGATGTCTCATGAATATGGTAGAGAGGCTATGCGCAGGGGTGATAGCAGAAGGCGCTCGTTCGTCAACGGAGGCGGCATTTGTTTCTGCCATACATGGGGCCTAGAACTATTGGGCCTAGAACGCTGAAATTGGGCCCTATATTGCTACCAGTTCCACTTCCAGTCGTGCCCTCGGTTATAATGACGTAGAGATGAAGGGGCGTAAACAAAAGTCAAAAAGTTTATGTAAATTACGACAGTTCGGCAAAGAAATCGTTCTGGCTTTTCGAGAAACCTGGCTTATCCACGAATTTTTTTCATGATGAGAAATATGGTTATTGACTTTTCGGCTTTTTCCAGA